ATCAAACCGATAAACCTTGGATAACCCCAAGTATTAAAAAACTGATTAATTAAAGACCGACAGAAAGCATTCCATAACCATAATATCCCCCTATGGAAATCTTTAAGATATAAAGTCCAAGAGGAGATTAAGCAAAGAAAGAAATCATTTTATAAAAACAAAGTTCAGCATTTAAAAGGAGTTTTTAAGGAGTATGCTCACGTGCTAGCTGAGCCGATCACCATTATTTTTAATACATCCCTTGCTTCAGGAGTTGTGCCGAGTAGTTGGAAGGAATCGAACATAGTCCCAATCCCTAAAACATGTAAACCGATTGCTGAAGCCGACACTAGGCCTATATCACTAACATCGTTCTTGTCTAACGTTTTAGAGGATTTCGTAGTATCTTGGCTGATTGAGGATGTAAAAGAAAAAATCGACCCCAGCCAATTTGGTTGCCTGAAAGGGTCATCCACCACTTTTTGCCTTTTGGATATGTTACATACTTGGCTTTCCCACCTTGACGGACTCGGTAATCATCTGCGTATTTGTTTCCTAGACTTCTCCAAGGCCTTCGACCGCATAGGTTATAATCTATTAATTGAGAAACTGATAAATTTGGGTGCTAGACGCTCATTAATCCCTTGGATCATCAACTTCCTCTCAAATCGAAGGCAGCGTGTTAAATTTGACGGAGCAACCTCCGACTGGCTTCCAGTGAATGCAGGTGTTCCTCAGGGGACAAAACTAGGTCCAATCTTGTTCCTAGTAATGGTCAATAACCTGCGAATCATTTCTCCCGTCACTAGAATGTGGAAATACGTAGACGACGTTTCAACCTCTGAGAGTCTTAGCAGAAATTGCACCTCTATCACTCAAACAACCCTTAATTCAGTTCAGTTGTGGGCTTCCGATAATTGGATGAAACTTAATATCAAAAAATGCAAAGAGCTTCGTGTTAGTTTCCTTGGAGAAACCCAATTAATGCCTCTTTTAATCGATGGACACCCAATTGAGACAGTGCGTTCACATGAAGTACTGGGACTCACGATCCAAAACAACCTGAAATGGGATGAACATATCCATGAAATAGTCTCGAAGGCATCCAAACGATTGCATATCCTCCGGGTGTTGCGCCGAAGTGGTATTCCTCCTGCAGACCTTCTCACTGTGTATATTGCGTTAATACGCTCAATCCTTGAATACTCTTGTGAAGTTTGGCACAACTCTATCTCATGCTATTTATCTGACAAAAGCGAGCCTTGCGTATTGTATACCCTGAACAAACTTACAAAGATGCGTTGCTGTCGGCTGGTATCACCAAATTGGAGACTAGACGTGAAGATCTATGTTTGAGGACACTCACGAAGATAACCAGAGGTGGTCCGCTTACACAACACGTGACACAGACTAGATCGAACGAGCATAATTATTTTATTAGATTATAAATGTCGAACCGATCGGTTTAAAAATAGCTTTTTCCCAAATACAATTAATATCGCTAATAGTAAATAGTGACTGGTGAGACTTGATTTTAACTTTGTTCTATCAACCATTGTAAATAATCTTATATTATTATAGTATTTTAATGTAAGCACTTTGTACTTCACTTTATGTGCGAATTTGTGCTATTAAACATCATCTTATCTTATCTTATCTTATTTACTGCCCTTCTTGCCGACATTACTTTTCTCTTGCCAGGGGGCGAACAAACTTGCAGATTATTGCGTTAGGACGGTCTGTAGATATCACATCATCAGCACCAATGGTTTTAAACAAATTAAGACATAAATTTACCGTCTGCTCCTCCGTTTCAGTTGCTTGCTCTTGCGGTATACCAACAATTTTTAAATTATACTGATAACTGTAATCTTCCAGCTGGTCAACGGCTTTCGCAATTTTATCACATTTTGTGGATATGATTTCGACCTGCGATTTTATATATTTAAGTTCCGTATTTGTACTGTTTTTGAACGAGACGAGGAGTCGTATTGATCGCTTACAAACGGTATAGACTTTTCTTGGTCCTTCGCAACATGGCTGCCTTCAATCTGGTCGGTTTTATCGTTTATCTTCGACATTTCTTCAGTGATTTTACCTAACTAGCTTCTTCTGTAATTCGCTAATATCATTTCGTAACTATTCATTTTCTTTCCTCAGCTGTTTTGTAGCAGCCATTGCGATCAGAAACAACAATTTTAACGGAGCGTGGAAATACGCGTCCGATGTGCTTGATATATCTAGGATCGTTGTTTACACATCGTTGATTTCAAGAAACGTACACCATTATAGTCAAATAAAGATTGTGATACGAATATATTTGCTCATATTAAACACGATTTATATAAACCAAACGCGGAAGCGGTTTTGTTTTGTTTTGTTTAGTTATTCATTAAGTTATGTTTAAAGGTCATCAATATATAGAGGATATTAGACGGTTGCGAAGAGATATGGATTTTATGTTCGAGTGGCAAAAACAATATCTCACGAGTGAGCGCAGCGAACGAGTGAGATATTGTTTTTGACACGAGAACATCAATCCATATCTTCTCGCAACCGTTTAATGTTCTGTTTATTATATGGACTTATTCAGAGTGACAAAAATACACACTAAGACGACATGTAAATAAGCACGCGAAAGACCAGTGTAAAAGCGGTATTTTTTAAAATTATAGTGCAAACATAAAACTAGAATAAATCTTACTTATCTCAAGATGTCTTTTAAATGTTTTCGTTTTATTTCCAACGTTAATTTCGTTTTAAATACGAACCAAAGGCCATTTGTATTTTCAAAACAACAACAATGAAAATGGCGGGAAATTTCGAACTTCGTATGTCACTAGCAGGGGTGAAATACGGAAAATACGCGCACCTGATCCTGGATGTAGTGACGTATGAGTTCTACGAGTGTTTTAGTTTCCAGTAAAATACCATTGTCCATATAATAATTATCATTTATACACCTGGAGCGAGGGAGATTCGGCGAAATATTACCCGAAGTGATGATATTTCCCGAGGGAAATATCATCACTGAGGGTAATATTTCGCCGAATCCCCCGAGCGGAGGGTCTATAAATGATATATTATACCGAAAATTAAAAGCCTCCAAGTTGAGAATTAAAGACTTGACACATACCTTCGTGAATACGATGTTTTATTTTCGGATTAACGCAAGTATCGTCGCTTTTCTTTCGAATCACATATCGTTTGGAATATTAATGACAAAGCTCCGGGTTTTAGGTTTGAGAAAGCCCCAGGTTTTAGGTTAAAAATTGAATTATTCATCACTCATTAATACTATTTATGTTTTGTCGGCCATCTTGTTGTTATGCGTGTTGTCCCGCGTGGTCTACGCGAATAATGTTCCACCCCATGTTCCCCGGGGAACATGGGGTGGAACATTGTCAAAAGGAACGCAGGCTCGCTAATTGATGACGTAAGGCGTGATATCGCGATTAATTTCATGCTCACGTGGTACAAACTAAGCTTCCTGATTGGACAATTTGAATTTGAGGTATAATATCACGGGTTATGTTGCTGAATGAGGTGTGAACAACGAAAACCGAATAAAGTCAACTTATTTTGTTGCTTTCTCTTTAATTATATATGCAGCATTGAGTTTGTTTACTAATTACAACTGCCTCGTACCCAGGCGTCTCTTTGTAAAAAAACAGTGATGCGCATATGACGAGTTTACATGAAGTATTGTAGTGGGGAGAGATGGCGAAGGGGCTGATGGGAAGAGTGCACTTGAAATGCGAGATGCCTGGCAGTTCTTGGTCGATTTCTTGCAACTTTGTACACAGGAGGCCCAGGCTCGATTTGCCCGCGCCCGCCTTTGCCTTACTTATAACGAGAGAAGGACGGAGACATTGAGACCAAAATAGCCCAGACTTGGCATATGTCACACAAAACTATCCTCGATTTTTCGCCTTTAATGCATTTTTTTCACGATTAATCGATATCCCCTGCAAGAATGATACCGTATAACTCTCAGAACAACGATGCTTTATTCAAAGAGCTTAAATTCGCTCTGAAATCCATGAGGGAATAACAAAATTCGGCCAAAATATATCCGCGTGCCTGGTTTGCTGTGCAAAAAGCGGAAGTCGTTGAACAACTCAAATTACACTCCACTCTGATTGGACAGCGATATCAACAAACATTTCAATTGGACAGCGAATATCAACAAACATTTCAAATTTTTCAACTTCCGCTTTTTGCACAGCAAACCCGGCACGCGGATATATTTTGGCCGAATTTTGTTATTCCCTCATGGATTTCAGAGCGAATTTAAGCTCTTTGAATAAAGCATCGTTGTTCTGAGAGTTATACGGTATCATTCTTGCAGGGGATATCGATTAATCGTGAAAAAAATGCATTAAAGGCGAAAAATCGAGGATAGTTTTGTGTGACATATGCCAAGTCTGGGCTATTTTGGTCTCAATGTCTCCGTCCTTCTCTCGTTATAAGTAAGGCAAAGGCGGGCGCGGGCAAATCGAGCCTGGGCCTCCTGTGCTTTGTACGATTTCTTGCTAGTTGTGATATTTCGTTCTCGTTTACGATTTTTTGCTACTTGTTTTTGTTGAATTGACTAATGTTAATATTCTTCTGTCATCTGGGCGTGAATTCGTGCTGTTATTCTTGGTATATATGACATATGCCTTATTTAAAGTCCATGGAAATTCCAATATTAACATGTCAACAACCGAAGCGTTGAAGAACTCGACTTGCAGGAACTATATTTGTAAGCTATAACTATGACTTTGACTTGACTTTGACTTTATTAAAAACGGTACTATTTCACCAAGATATTTACAAAAATTAAGACGGGTGATCTTCCAATAGGCCGTATATAGCTATAATAATTACACATATACTACAGTATCTAATAATAATAACTAAATTACACACAAATTACACACTTACAGTTAGACTATTTTTAAATGTAGAGATACTTGTTTTAGCTTTTATGTCAGCAGACAGATTATTCCAAGTCTCAGCTCCTCGATAAGCGAAAGACTTTTTCATAAAATTAGTTTTAGGTTTAGGTAATGCAAAATTGAATTCGCTCTGTCTTGTATTGTAATTATGTATTTCATTTGAGGTGATGAAAAGTTCCGTTAAGCAATTTGGTAACATGTTATGTTTGGCTTTGAACATTAGGACGGCTAAATGATGATTTCTTCTAGTCACGAGATTTGGAAAACCGATTTGTACGTGTATCATAGTTTTCACGAGTTATTATTCGAAATGCTCTATTTTGAAGCTTCTGGAGTTTATCAGATAGTACTTTACCCAGACAACCCCAAATCTGTGAGCAATAGTCGAAATGTGGTTGAATTATTGATAAATAAATTTTGATTAGTGTTTGGTAATCTAGAATGTCTCTCAATCTTTTAAGGATACTGAGACCTGAATTAACCTTTTTTGTAATTTGATCAACTTGAGCATTCCATGAGAGTGTTTCGTCAATCATTAAGCCGAGTGATTTGGTCGTTTTGACTCTATTAATTTCTCTGTCTTTTACTGAATATATTAGGCGTTATGTTAATAAGATTGACTCTTCTATATAAAGGTACAAACTATAAAATTGCACTGTTGTAATAAATATTTCAAACTTTACGGCTGTGAACTTTTATTTACTTGGGCTTTTGTTTACAGTATACATTTAATAGAAATTGCCATTGGCATTGTGATCGACTGATCGAGCCTTCAGCTAAGGAAGTTATTAATACAAAAGCAATTATATGACTTTCTAATCATTTCTCTGTTACTGTTTTATACTAATAGCATTCTATTATTCTCCATGTAATACCGAATGACATATTCGAAATATTCGCACGGTTAACTTGCCATGTAATTTACTCATATTTCGCGCATTTTGTATGTCATCAAACATCTACAAATGTATTATTATTTGCCAATGGCGTTCAATTCGACTCTTCGTCAGAAAATAAGGTTTCACACACACAGTATATGACGATATAATTATATGGTAACGTTTTGTATTAAATTCCATGTTTGTCCACCATGACAGTATACAAGAACTGCCAGGCGCTCCCCAGCACGCACCCTCCCCAACAGCCCCTTCGCGCGTCGCCTGCCAACCTGAATACTTCATGTAATGTAATTATTTAAAGCGCCTGGGTACGAGGCAGTAATTACAATATATATAATTAATTTATACACGTACGTAAATTAATTACAATGTATATAATTATTCTATATACGTACTTATACGCATGAATTATCATAATTGAACCGCCCAAATACTGGAAGTTTTGAGGTCATGTGACCGGCCGATGTCAGGGCCATTTTCGCTGACCGGAAGCAAAATGCCCTGGGTACGCGGTTGTTTAAATACTATTAGGTAATACTTCATGTAAATATACTGATACAAATTCACTACAGCAATACGTATTGGTTTTAAAAATGCTTTCAATACCTTTTCAACAACTTTCATTGCTTTCAACAACTTTAAAAATTTTACATTGATTGTTTAATCCAAAAATCTCGATCCAAAAAGGCCGCAATAAAGTGCAAAAGTTTTCTTTTCAGAACGCCATTTTGCTAGCAAGTGTCACGCCTAGATATCTTATATACACTAGATAGCGCATCTCTTTTACACGCGTAAAAATCATCATGTTGATGCAAGTTGTTCACAACAGGAGCGAACAATGTTGTGCTGCACCCCGTGAACAATATTGTTAACAATGTTGTTGAACCATCAACGTTGTTGCAACTTGTTGACAATCATGTTATCAACTTGCAACAATATTGATGATTGAACAACTCGGAACAACTTGTTAACAATATTGTTCACGGGGTGCAGCACAACATTGTTCGCTACTGTTTGAACAACCTGATCAATTTTTACCCGTGTAGTAGAATTGAAGCAAAGAATATTCCAGCGGTTACCCCCATTTGAATAGATGACGGCCAAGTTGGTACTTCCCACTCGCTAATAAACGCTTAAAAAACAACAATAACTTTCATCATTTGAATAGTTTAAAAATGTTTAAGTTTTAGTTTGGAATATGTTTAACTTAATGTTTATTGTTTCCTGTTTAAGAAATAG